TGTAATACTTTATTATAACACTTTAAAGATTTAACCATTTCTGGTGATTACTTTTTTCTGCCAGTAAATATATTATTATTTCTTTTTGTATGATAGAAGGCTAAGTGAGCTAAAAAGCTAACTCCAATTGTCAAGGGTTGGTTCGTGAGCCTCCTAATTCGATTTTTAATCTCCCGTAATTCCTCTCGAACAGAACCCGAAAACAGTCACTTCTCTTCAAAGTTTTGTTCCGAAGCCCAGTCACAATACTAATGCATTTATGAATATATATTGAAAGAAAATAAAAATAATTTATTAGTCAAGATTTTGTAGAATGTTTCATTTCTCACTTAAATTCCAACCTTGATTTCGTATTCGTTTCCATCTCGATTTCATCTTGTTCTTATCTTCTTTATTTTCACTCTCTTCCTTCTTACCAACTGCTTTTACGTTGTTTTTATATACTATTTGTTCTAATAAATTAAATATTAAAGTTAGTGCAACATTTTTTAATTGAAAACTACAAAGTGGTTATGTTTTTGGTGACAAAAACTATTTATTGAGCTGATGAGGATGACAATTCTGTATTATAGAACCTTAAATATGCCACACCTCTATTAGATGAACCGCGGGTGTAGAAATCACCCGCAAGAAGGCTTTCTTGGACGTGGTTATTAGATTCGTTGACCATGACAGTATCATTGGCATTAGTGCATATTTAAAAATATGCAATTACTATTATTTATTTATTGTTATTTTATTTACATTATTACAATTATCACAATTCTGAAATCAATGAATTACACCAAGAATTGCTTTCAATTCTATCTTTAAATTGTTCAAAAATTGACCGTGTACAACTTAAAATTGAGTTGTAGTCAGATAGGTCTTCGGTTTTTTCTAAAACCTCTTTAAAAAACTCTTTTATGATCATACCTCCCTCCTAAAAAAATTAAAAATAAGATAAATAATTTTTTTTTAATAATTAAATAATAATAATAATAATAATAATAATAATAATAGAAATTGTAATTTAAAATTTGTAATAGGCAATAGGCAATATACTCGGAATCCCCAGCTACTCAATATAGAAAAATTTGGCTTCTACACAAAATTGCATGTGACTTTCCTTATAATGAAAGAAGATAATGTGCAGTTAGTATTAGCTTTTATTATTATTTCCATTATGCCGATCTCCCGGATTTTTGTTAATGTTAATGTTAATTATTTATTAAATTTCTCACCATAAAAGTAACGTTAACCCCACACTATAAACGTAGATCACTTGTTACGGGTCGATAATTAAACTTTAGTTGTATTCTTTTTAAAAAAAAAAACCAATTCTATTAAAGGGCTGGCTGCCTGTATGTGATATTTAAGACTTTACTATAGAGGGAGAGGGGAGTGCTCCGATCCAAATCATGAAAGATCGACACGGAATAATTTATTACCTATATATTTATTACAACTTGGCAAGAAATTGGTTGACAGAAGAGAAAGATGATAGGATTCCT